GGGGAGGAGCCGCCGCCCCCCCCACTGTGCAAGCCACGGGGCATCTGTTCCCGAGCCTACTTCTTGGTGCTGATGGTGTTCGTGCACCTGTACCTGGGCAACGTCCTAGCACTGCTGCTCTTCGTCCACTACAGCAACGGGGATGCGAGCACAGACCCCAGACCTCAGCGCCGCGAGCAGAGCCCCCCGTCAGTGCCAACCTTGGGTCCCCTCACTCGGCTGGAGGGCATCAAGGTAAGAACATCTCCCGCGCTGCGCTGCGACGCGCTCCGCTGCTCCGGGCATCGCCCAGCCAAGCTGCACCGGACCGTGCCTCGGCCGTGACCCCCACAACAGGGCTCCATGCATCACTGTGTGCCGGTCACGCGCGCCTACTTACTTCCCACTGTCGCGCCCTGACACGGGACCTTGAGCAGTGCGGCCTGGCACACCAGCTGCTCTCTATTACTTTTCCTTTAGGTGGGGTATGAGCGGAAAGTCCAGCTGGTCGCAGGCAGGGATCACTTCATCAGAACCCTCAGCCTCAAGCCATTGCTCTTTGGTAAGTCTGCCAGACACTTCTGGAAAGGGCCAGGGGCTGCAATGTTCACCCTGAGGCTTCTTTTGACCACGTGTTTTCTATTTTGAACACGGCTGCTTTGCAGAAGCGCTTTCTGCATTCCGAGGATCACTAAAGCAGAGCTCCCTTCTCCGTGACAGGACAGAGGTGCCCTTTCCACACTCCCCTCCCAGCACCATGCCCCCCACAGTCATAGGCTGGGCAGCATGACCCTGAGACAAGTGTCCAAACAGTTTATTGAGATTATCTCTGGACAGACTATGCTACTAATCTGCCACATTCCAGAATCGAAGCAGGGCGGGAGACTGATAACCAGCTGCCAGCTGACCTGGGGCTTCTGGGGAAGGAGGGGGGAATCATTCCTAAAGTTGATCCTGTGGCCAAATGAGAATCACACTGTCTAGACTGGAACAAACTGATTCCCTCAGTCAACCTCCCTTCCCCCCAAGCCAGAGGCCCAGCTTCTTGCTTCCAGAGTTTGAGATTTTTAGGATTCTTGTCTCTCATCCTTCATGAGCAGAGCCCTTCAGGGTGACCTGTTTAGAGATATCACACACAGCTCCTGCTTTCTGAGCTCTTAGGAAATGATAGGCTTTAAATGTTGTCTCATTTAACCTGACACAAAGCTGTGACGACCCCAAAGGCCTCCGAAGACTACCGATGTCAATAAGGCGAGGGCACCACACTCATGGACCTTGCCAAGGTTAAATTTGTGCAGCCCCAGCTGGACAATGGTGGCACACACCTTTAATCCCAGCACCCAGGAGGCAGAGGCAGTTGGATCTCTGAGTTTGAGGCCAGCCTGGTCTACAGTTCCAGGACAGCCAAGGCTACACAGAGAAACCCTGTCTGGGAACAAAAAGAAACAAAAACAAAAACAAAAAACAAAGATCTTTGGGCTGGGGACATTTGGGGAAATAATGACTCAGCAGATAAAGGTGTTTACCACCAAGCCTGACCCTCTAAATTTAACCCCTGGACCACATAGTGAAAAGGAAGAACAAATTCCCATTCGTTGTCCTCTGAGCGCCCCTCATGCATGCATGCACGCGCACGCGTGCGCGCACACACACACACACACACACACACACACACACACACAAATAAATGTAATCTTATCTTAGAAGAAAGGGCCTGAGCAAAACCCAGTGTGTGCCTGTCATAGAGCCGAGAAGGCTCTGCCTGGTGTTACAGAGAGCTATAAATAACAATGTCACATGTATGCATTGTGAGAAGGGCTGTACACAGTCGTGAGCTGTTATTATCAATATTCCTGTTGAATAACATGGCGGCCCATGTGAGGTCCCGATGCAGGTATTAGAAACAGCTTTTTCTGAAGCTGACATTGAGATGAGGAGGGAGCAGGATAAGCAATGAACTGTGTGTGAAGCGGTGCCTCAGGCAGTGACGGAAACAAACTCTAAGCAGAGGAACCAATGGGCCTCCCTGGAGAAATAACTGAGCAGAGACATGAAGGACAGCCTGTGGGCTGTCACGGAAGGGAGCCCCAGGCCTAGGGACAGACAGTTGGGTTCCCTTTTGTTAACCACCCAGTCTGCATATATCTAATTTAAGTCTACATTAGCATAGGTGAGCCACAGGCTAGAGTCCTCTTAATTTGCAGCTTGTCCTATGAAGATAATTAAAGACCCAGATTTGAAATCCCCAAGAGTAAACTACAAGAAACGAAGAGATGTGAGAACAGAAAGCTGCTCTGGGGAGGCCATCAAATTGGGTCCCTGTTTCTGTCTCAAACGACACAGTTACTGGACTTGGCCATGTGCTAACTCCTGAACTTGGGAGGAAGAGGCAAGAGGATCCTGAATTTGAGTCCATACTTTGGCTACACATCAGGAGTAGATTAACAAGCAAAACAGCATGGGAATAAAAAGAGACAGTGGAAGCTGTTGGGCATCTTTAATCCCAGCACTGTGAGACAGAGGCAGGCAGACCTGTGAGTTTGAGGCCAGCCTGGTCTACAGAGTGAGTT